ATAAAACTGTAAGCTGATAGTTTAGACATTTTGATGAGAAGAGGTTTTATTGTGATGTGACTGACAGTCTCCATGAAGGGTATTTACAGTCTGACTCTTATTACTAAAAACACCGTGACAGGTAGAACTTGATGTGGATGTATAATGGGGAGACGATGAGAAATTGTGACAAAAAGAGCTCATTAAACATTTTGCTTTTTTAGAACAGTTAATTTCACATACTGAACTACAATTTCTAAGTGGAGCGTGTACCACTTAACACAAGCTCTTTGGGGTACGCTTGCTTGCTTTGTCTGGCTTGATGCCTATTCTCAGCAAATGGAGAATAGGAGAACTGGTCTAAGGAAAGACCAGGGAGAAGGTGAGTGCCTGCACTGTAAGGCATCAGATATAACGCCCTGAATCTTTAAACAGCAGTCAGATGAGTTGTCTGAAAGCCTTCATAAAACTGTAAGCTGATAGTTTAGACATTTTGATGAGAAGAGGTTTTATTGTGATGTGACTGACAGTCTCCATGAAGGGTATTTACAGTCTGACTCTTATTACTAAAAACACCGTGACAGGTAGAACTTGATGTGGATGTATAATGGGGAGACGATTAGAAATTATGACAAAAAGAGCTCATTAAACATTTCGCTTTTTTAGAACAGTTAATTTCACATACGGAACTACAATTTCTAAGTGGAGCATGTACCACTTAGCACAAGCTCTTTGGGGTAAGCTTGCTTGCTTTGTCTGGCTTGATGCCTATTCTCAGCAAATGGAGAATAGGAGAACTGGTCTAAGGAAAGACCAGGGAGAAAATGGGAAGGAATACAAGAAGCGTGAGTTGATACAGAGGAAGAAAGAGACACAACGCCTACAAGTATCTCAAGGGAGGGTTGAAGGAGGAGGGAGCCAGACTCTTTTCAGTGGTTCCCAGTGAGAGGACGAGGGGCAACGGGCACAAGTTGGAACATAAGAGGTTCCACTCAAATATGAGGAGAAACTTCTTCACGGTGAGGGTGACAGAGCCCTGGAACAGGCTGCCCAGGGAGGTTGTGGAGTCCCCTTCCTTGGAGATTTTCAAAACCCGCCTGGATGCAGTCCTGAGTAACATGCTCTAGCTCTGGGCAATCCTGCTTCAGCAGGGGAGTTGGACTAGATGATCTCTATGGTCCCTTCCAACTCTAGAAATTCAGTGAAATTCAGTGAAATTCAGTGAAATTCAGTGATACTGGATAGCATGGAAAGTGTGTGTTTGGAGAGGAAATCTACAGGAGAGTAGGATTTGCTGGGAAGGGATGCAGCAAAGAGATGGGGAAACACAGGAATGATATTGGGTGAGCAATCTTTTCATCCCGATGTCAGAGAAGTGACTTGGCAACCAGCCACTGCTCATAATTGAGTTCAGTGGGTACGTTCGAATTCTGAGATCCGAGACTCATCCCTTTCTGCCTCATTTGCACCGTATTTACATTACTTGATATCAGAGATCATGAGGAGTCCCATTTAGACACCTTCTGACAAATGGCCTCACGTAACTGGCAGGGCATTGCATATGTACATCAGCTATCTCTATACCTACACAATGTTGAATACTTCTGCCTCATGGCACTATCAGGAAGATGCTTCATACCTTCAGCTCCAGTGTGATCCCACAGGCACAGAGAAAGCATTATTTGCCAAACATGGCAAATGTTTGTTTCTTAAGAAGCTATGTCTTATCGGAAACCAGTATGAATTACACTTCCCAGTTTCCAATTGACCTTTGGAAAACGGATTCTGGTTTTTAGCTGTCACACTGTGGTAGACCTCATCCCACCTAGGCCTAACTATTTAAAAGTTATCATACCTGCAAGTCATTTAAACTTCTGCAGCCATGAAAGAATAATGTCCAGACATATATTTGTTTCTATCCGCATGGGACACCTCACAGACAGGAAGAACCTTCCTAGGAAGCAGTATTTTCTCTCCACTGGCTACAGAGAGAGAAGGGTAGGGGGCACCTGCATTACTACTTCAGTATCCCTCACTTTGATGTGCAGAGACTAGAGATAACTTGCCTGAGAATGCACCAGAAGAAAATAATCTCAAGCTGGAAAATCGATCTCTGTCCAGGGAACAGGAGCAATTCAGTTTGAACTTAAGCAAAACTTGCTAAGTTTTTATTAAACGTTGTATTTATTGTCGGGAAAGAGAATTCACGGTGCTTGAAACCCATTAGGAGCTACAAAAAGTTTCTCACTTTATTCATCCATTATGAAATTAATGAAAGCAAGATCTCCTAATAAAGAAAGTGTCCTTATATGTTTAAACCAGGTAGATGAGCTAGATTATTTGCCCTCAGAATGAATTTTAGAGGTTTATAGAATAATGACAGCTATAAATTGAACAAAAAATTATGGCAAGTGTCTCAATGACAGAGAGTCTCAGATGTGGAAGGGTGAGCAATAAATCAGATGGGCAGTGGAATATTAAATTGCTAATTTTAAGAGCTATTGCTGCTTTTCTTTTTTTTTTAATGCATACTAATAAAAAGGTGAAACAAAAATCTCAGCTACATGTCTCTTCTTTTTCTTTCTTTCTTCTCTGTTTCTTCGTAACGTGCATAACTTGTTTGTATAAAAAGCCCTAATAACTTGAAATTTAATGATGAAATAGCAAAAAAAATAAAAACCAAAAACCAACAACAGGTTTGCAACCAGCTTCATGGAGATGACAGATTAAATATATTTGATGATTACAGAGTAGGTTCCATACGCCCTATATCTCACAGTCATACTCTTTTCCAGGACAGTGTAATACCAAAGTGTCTGCAGACATGATTGCAAGTGTGCTGTACACCCAGTCATACTGCAATGACCTAAATTACAGACTATACCCAGAGTAAATTTGAAAGGTGAAGGAATAATAAAAAAGTCACAGGGAACGTACAGTGGAAAAATTGTAACGCTGAACTATACGAGAAAGGAGTGAAAAATCTACAGCTATTCCTTGTCCACAAATACCTTAATTAGTTATGCAACATGAGTTATTTTACTAGAATTTCCCAGGCAACACGACGATGCCTCCCTCCTCCCAGTGGCTTATCATGAAATATTTATGGCAAGTTTTGTTTGTTTGTGCAAACCACAGAAGTGTCACAATTCAGGCCCCCGTGCAGCCCCTCCCCAGCATTTATCTTTTTTATTCGGCATCTCGGTCTCCGTGCAGAGCCCAAGCTGTGCAATTTACCACATCCTTACGTGAAAGGAGTCTCTCTCTCTTCCTTGAACACAGGCATTTTCCCCATGCTTACAGCAGACTGAAATTCTTGACCTTCTCCTTTCTTTTTCCCCATGCTCACAGCATCTCGGTCTCCGTGCAGAGCCCAAGCTGTGCAATTTACCACATCCTTACGTGAAAGGAGTCTCTCTCTCTTCCTTGAACACAGGCATTTTCCCCATGCTTACAGCAGACTGAAATTCTTGACCTTCTTTCTTTTTCCCCATGCTCACGTGAATACTCAGAAATACTGATTTTGCATATAACCAACGCAACTGAATGATTTCTCGAGGTATTTATAGCACAAGTTTATATGAAACAGTGCAACCTGCCCTTCAGCAAATGCATCCCTTATTGCTAAGGCGTCTGCCACTCCACTCCTCCTCTCAACCACTTGTTACTATTCTATATACATGGATAAATACTTCACCTTCAGCAAATGCATCCCTTATTGCTAAGGCGTCTGCCACTCCACTCCTCCTCTCAACTACTTGTTACTATTCCATATACATGGATAAATGCTTCATCTCTTCAAAATACACAGAAATAATACACAGTAAGGGAATGGTGCCATTTGGATACAACACCATATTACCTCCATTTTTGAATAGAGTCAACTGCCCATGCAAGGCACGGGACAGACAGAGTTAAGTTTACAGTCTACATTGACCTGTACCCACTTGTACACTTAAAGCACTACAGAAACAATACATGAAAGAGTTAAGTTTACAGTCTACATTGACCTGTACCCACTTAAAAGCACTACAGAAACAATACAGAGCAATATTGGGAGGATATCTCCTTGTGCTGATTACAGCCCATAATAACCAGGAAAGCAGTGCAAGACATAGAGCAAAGATTCTGCCACTCAAGAATTTGTTGAGCGAGATCTTTTTGCAGGCTGTTTAAACCAATGACAATTACATGTATCTCTGCCCTACAACTCTACAGCCATTACCAACCAACCACGTTGGATTTATTGGAAAAATAACTGCTTTTCTATGGTGTATGTTAGGTTGGATTTTCATGTAACCTGTTTGGTTAGTTTGTTTTTGGGTTTTTTTTCCAAATGACAGAAAAGTAATTCTATATGCAAATTCCCATTTTTAGGTAATATTCGATTTGAAGCTCCTTATGAAATCTTTACCTATCAGCACTTTGTATTCACCAGGAAGTGGTGAATACAAATGGCATTGAATTCACCTTCCAAGAGGCGTAGACATTATAGCCACAGAAAACCACCACAGAGGTCACAATGTTCTGATACAGCTTCTCCTAATGCTACTTCTCTTGACTTCTGTTCTATCCAGACCTTGCCACCGCTGTTGTTCTACTAAACCAAGCTGGAAGGAGCACAATATACAAAGTAGGGCTCTGACAGAGCACACGGGAGAAGATGCAGCCCATACTCAATCAAGAGTGATAAGTGTTGGGTAACAGATCCTTCTAATCCAGGCAGCAACGATTCATGCATTAACATGCAGAAGGCTAATTGTCAACTGATAACACATTTATAAATGGTGACTTCCATAAGAGTGAGTCAAAAAAGACAGAAAGGAAATTTAAGTAATGAATGAGATGGATATAAGTGGCATTACAATCCTGGTTACTCTGAACCAACCCAATCAACAACCCAACACATCCCTGATAAAATTCCCATCACAAGGAATGTATCAAATGTTATGTACACCAATGAAAGTCACAGAAGCTAAGACACACCTTCTTTACTGCATGTAAACAAAGGAGATACTTACACTTACAGGTTGACTTTTTGGCACATCATAAACACCTTCCTTCTTTTGGCTGGTAGGAACCTGGAAGAGCAAATGAAAACTAAGGTCACTACCCATGCAGGTTTGATGAAAAAGTGAAATGTGCAATTGCTATTTATGTACAAGGTAGTCATTTAATACTAAGGAAATCAAGGATGGTTCCCTTTTCAGCCAAGCAGTACCATTAATGGAGACGATACTGAAAAAATAAAACTTTTATCTGAATTTTTTGAATCCTAAAGCCCAGTACTGTTTAGAAACGAGATTTTCATTCTCATTTAGGTTTGGCTGCATTAAGTCCGGGTGCTCTTGGATCTCCTTCCTATTTAAATGGTTGTTTTTTTATTTTACTTGGGGGTTAGAAGATGCACATGGAAGTCATGATCAGTTCAGTACGTCACCTTCTTCTGTGGCAGAGATCCAGAGCTACTGATCTGAAGGAAAGAGATGTTTGGCCGATGACATACTTTCCAATTCATTTATTCATCTAAGTCAAATAAAGTCATAACGTGTACCCCTGCTGTGACGGGGCCCTGCAGCCGCTCTAGGTGATGTTTGGTTACAATTCTGCAATTTCACTAAGGAATTACTGGCCTGTGAGAGTCTGACACAGCCAGGGAGCTGGAGTTAAATTCTCACGTGGGCAGGGGACAATGCACTTAAAAAAACTTTGGGCAGTCTTTAGTTAAGTCAACAGTCATGATTTACACCTTGAGCATTTACAACCTGCTCAGGTAAATTCAGTTGCTTGTTATGCTGAGCTTTGCTTGCCTAAGGACTGCTAGTTTACATATTTACAATTTGTGGTTATATTTCTTTTCCTTCCTAGAAGCACTGAAGGTCTTTTGTTAATGACACAAGCGAACAGAACAATAAAAATATGCTCTAAACAGACACAAATGCTCTAAGTAAATCAGTGCTGCTTTTCCACTGAACAAGGGCATTCAGCAGAAGAAGGTTACATGTCAGACATTAATGAAACCTCACAGGTTAACATGAGAAATAATACTGCAGCTGTGACAAAAAAAAAAAAGATTACTTTTTTGGCTTATAAGGCAATAAATATCTTAGAGTTCTGATATTCGAGCACGTCTGATTTAGGGGAAGCTGAAAGAATGTTATTTATTCACTGAACTGTGCTATCGTTTCTTATTCTGTATAGCATGTCAAAAAATCCCTAACGTTCAAACATTCTCTTGCCCATGTTTAAATGTCAAAGTCTTCGAGGGAAATGGTGCATCTTTAACTTGGTGCACATTGTGGAAGTTTTTCCAGAGAGAGAACCCTCCCAGAAACTGGACGAGCTTTTTGGAATCTCTTCTGTTCCTATCCCAGGAATGACTTTCTTGCCTTGGCTTTCTCAAAGTACTGTCTTCTCCACTAAAACCCCCTATGACATTAGATAACACGAAACTGGTAAGAGGGGAACAGACTGTTAAGTGACAGTGTAAGAATGGTGTATTTAGTAAGTCATTGGCAAGTTTAGCCTTCACAATAAGAGGACAAATGCGGTAAGATAGACTATAAACTATCAGCAGCACAGGTCTTTCTTTCCTCTCTGGAAAGTTTCCCCATCAGTCAACTTCTCCATGAAGTCACCCTAGTTTGCACATTCCTATCCACAGCTTATTATGGAATGAGCCTTTCCCAGCACTATCAATTCCCTTTCTCTTACTCCAGCTTATAATTACATCAGAAAAAACCTTCTGACTTCTAATATCAAGACAGAGAAAATTTTCTGAAAGACATTCTTCTCTCCCCACTCGGTACCACCTGTCTTCCTGTTGTTTTTACTTCCCGTGGATCATCCTGCTTTTTCTGCATCGCTACTTAGACGAGGGGCCTGCAAGGGATTTCTCCTGTTTTCTCTTTGATTAACAACATCAGCAAAGAGGTACCAGCACTATCGCTGCCGACAGCTCTGGCTCTGTAATGGGCTGTGAACTGCTTTGACATACTTGCATCTTACCAGCCACACAAGCACAGCAGCTCAGGAAAAACCCACCTCAGATCCTCAGCTCCTGATGGAGCAGAACGTGCCACTCCACAGAGAGGGGTGCTGCTATGTGCATAATGCAAACCCCCCCCCAAATCCCATCCCCACCTCGCCAAAACAACAGGCAGGAAAAGAGATGCTATTAAGAAAGCTGACACTAGGTGAGAGGATTGGTACACGCTCAGCATCACCTAGCACCTTGCATAACTAACACATTAGAGCAACTTATACAGACAGACAAGATTAAAAGAGGAGACAGACACGGACAGTCTTGGGGGTAACGTATCAAAGAAAGGTGACAGACAGAGGAAATAATGCTTAAAAAGAAATTTTTGACCTCTACTATGTTAAAAAGAAACGTCTATAATTGTCACTTTCAGCATATATCTTCCATCTCCAGTTACCCACTGGGCAGGAAGTCAATCCTTTGCATCCCAGCTCTTGGTCGAAAAACCAGAGCAGCACCAGAAGAAAGATTTGGTGAGGCTGAAGCGAGGATGCAGGAGGTTACCCAGCAGATGCATATTTACCAAAGTGCAGTATGGGGAAAGCTTTGTGTAATAGAAACTGGCACAAATTTGCATCAAACTGGAAAAAAAACAAAAAAACAAAAAAAAAAAAAAAACCACAAAAAAAAGAGAGGACCTTTTCTAATTTAATTTTTAATAGTAGCCTGGGTGGCTCTGAGATCATCAAGATCTTGTAAGAGAAACGATTTTACCAGTAATTTAAGATCTGAGCTGCAGGAACGCAGATTTATGGCAAGGCAAGAGCTCACAAAGTCCGTGGGAACTTGGAAGCTCATGGCTCTGGGCAAGTCTATGGCAGTGATACTTCAGCATCTGCCAATTGCAATAGATAACAGAAAAAGTCTCCCAGCTCCCTAATCTCAGCATTTACTGTATTCAAGGTATTGTCTGTATTAAATACAGAAAATGACAATGCTAGACTGCATATACTGAGAGTATGGTATATTAATGACAGGTATTTCCTGCGCACCGCTGTGGGAGGAAACACTTCTCTGGTGACTTACAGGACAGGAACAACGGTACCTTGAGATGAGGCAAGACCCCACTGTCTGCTTATCAGCTCCTATTTCCATCTTAAGAAAAAGTAACTGTCCAAAAAGCCCTCCTCTTCTTTAGGCCATTCCTCAGAGTACAGTTCCTACTTCCTCCCTACCCACCAGTTTGCTCTGAGATCTCCAAACACTGGGAGCAACACCACAATTTTCCTTACTTACACTGATACTTCTCTACAACATCACTAAAAGCTCTGCACTTTGAGAAACAATAACCAGAAATTTCTCATCTGAATACAGTTGTCGTAAGAATTTTGTTTCTAGCACAAAACTGACAACTGGAGTAGTCATTAATTAAGAGACTGCTTTCCTCAAAATAGACAAACTTTCAACACTATGCGGTAGAAAATTTTGCACATCTTGGTCTAGAGATGCAGAAAGATGCAGATTCTAGTGTGCATAGTGGGGTGCCAGGAAATCAACATAGACAGGTTAAATGAATATCGTCTTAATGACCCTGTGATGAGGTCTATGAGATGGTTATTTTCTAATGTTTAACTTGCATTTCCCCTTCCCACTTAGCTTCTTTCTATTTTGGCTCACAGCTACTCTACCCTTCCATTTTTTTCTATTATCTCCTACCTGTTTTATTACTTAAAAAATACCTTTCCCTTTTCTTTTTTGTTCTATCCCTGCTCCTGTCTACCTTAAAAAAGCTTTTCCTATTAGCAGATCAACCTCTAGCACAGCTAGATGAAATGCTTAATCACCGCTTGAATCTCCTTCCCCTCCATACTAAATGATTTCCTTAAATCGCAATTTTCTTACAGCATACAGAGATTTCTGTCTATCTCCAGATTTGCCTCTAGTATGTGATACAAAATGAATTACATTATATTTTAATAAACCCCGTACCAATCCCTTGAGGATAAGTTGAACGACAACAGATTATTTCATATTGCTTTCAATGCAATTTTTTGTCAGTGTGAAGAATGCAAGCTTGGGCTCTGACATAACATATGCACTCTGAAAATATCTTCCCCAGTCTGGAGGATATCCGTTGAGAGCTCAGAGGTTTTGCTCAGTTATTTCCTTGGTTAGCCAGAAAGAAGAGCCCTGCCATCAAAATATCTTTCTAAGAATCGCATGGATGGTCTGCCCTCCGTGAGATTTCACTCTCTGTTTCTTAGAACAGGTATAAAAAGTTTCAAAAAATTAACAGGAAAAAAAGAGAATCCACTGTTTATCCCCTTACATGGTGTACTCTAAAAGTTTAAGACCGTTTGTAAGTTGAGAAAGCTAATAAAATTTGCAGAAGCTGAAATGACAAACAACAGAAAAATCACACTGAGACTGGGCGTATTATTCATGTTATGTCACCAGAATGAAATGCCAGACATTTTTGTGATGAATGAAAACTAATAAAAGTGAAATATATATGAAATGTACTTTACTAAAATGCTTGCAATCGTTGCAATGAAAACACCGAAGTTAGCGATTTTATACCTGATAAATGTTTTCTTCCGTTTCAGGCTCACGGATTGGCTCGTGTCCAGCCTCAAACACAATGTACTATTACACCAGCCGCCAGAGAGGAAAAGTCAAAAGATGAAACAGAAGGGAAAAAGGCCATTTGGAATTCCACGTAAAAACACAGGCAGGCATTAAAGAAACAAGTTCAAAGTACAGGCTGGCAGCAGGACAACCCGTTTGTTGGAAAGCGCAGAGTAAGGTTCTTTCATATTTCATAAACCGGCAGCGAATAGACCTAAATCTCCTCTAATGATCATTACAGCAACTTCCTAATTCTTTCTCACTAGGGAGACCGCCTGTGGCCCAATATTAATTTTCTGAAGTCAATGTGAATTTTGCCTCTTTTACATAATGGCAATTATTTCCACATATATTTATTATCTATGAATAAAAAAAGCTAAATCCAAACTGGGAGAATGGGCCGGTGGCTCACGTAACAGGCCACAGAGCAAAAAGCTGTCACAACACTTTTCATTTTCAGGTTCTTGCTTTATTGTGAAGAGCACAAAGTAAAACTCCTGACATTATAAAAGCTGAATAGTAATTTAGGGCATCCTAATTCTTATCATCTTTCTTGCTGCACCTTAGGCATTGTTCAATATTCACTAATGGTTGAATCAGTTTCTTTCAGCGTGCCTCCCACTGACATGCCTAAGTGGAAGAACACAAAATCTCCAGGAAAAAGGCAAAGTAAACTATCATGTATTTTGTTTCAGCACAAAAACACGGGAATGAAATTACATCTTTTTCTTCTTCACACTCAGTAGGGTATCGGACATGAATATATTGACGTATTTCTGATAATCATCTTTACTCCCAGACATTTTGCTTGGATGAAAGAGACTTAAATTTCAGATCTATTATTAAATCATAGCCCAAATGCCAACAAGGGAGCACTGTTTTGTTTTTTTTCTTAAATTTCAGATCTATTATTAAATCATAGCTCAAATGCCAACAAGGGAGGACTGTTTTGGGTTTTTTTTCAAAATCTCCAGGAAAAAGGCAAAGTAAACTATCATGTATTTTGTTTCAGCACAAAAACACGGGAATGAAATTACATCTTTTTCTTCTTCACACTCAGTAGGGTATCGGACATGAATATATTGACGTATTTCTGATAATCATCTTTACGCCCAGACATTTTGCTTGGATGAAACAGACTTAAATTTCAGATCTATTATTAAATCATAGCCCAAATGCCAACAAGGGAGCACTGTTTTGTTTTTTTTCCCCAAATATTCATCCTCTGAATTAAATTCTGGTCCCATTGAAGCCAAAACCAAAATGTCAATTTATTACTGTCAGAACAAGATGTCACCTTCCTTTTTCTCAAAGTAACTCACTTTCTGTTAGAGTTAGTATTAAAAAATGATGACAAATGTCATTTGGAAAATTATAATCTGGACTCACAAGCCACATTTTAGGAAACAGTTAATCTAATATTTCTATCAGACATATTGTGCTATTACTTACAGCTCAATCTCTAAATATGCTACGTTCTGTAAAAATCTTACAAGTTTCTCAGAAGATCTGTCTCAGTAAATTTCAAAACATCTTGTTAAAGGTTTTGGCTGTGTTTAAAGATAACACATATCTAGTCATTTCTGAAACTCCAAGGGCATACAGCTTCAGAAATTACCTGGTATACAGGATCTTCTACATCTTCTTCCAAAATTGTCTACAGCAAAGTAAGAGGACAGGCAGTAAAAGCAAAGAACATAAACAGTAGAGATAAAAGAACTGTATTCAGAAATTAAAGGACAGCAAAGAAATAAGCAAAATGGGCAGGTAAGTATAAAGTTTTCTTTCTTTAGTATACAGATAAAGTCACATTATTGTACAAAGTAACTTTATTCAAGTTTCATCCGAGTTTAACAATCTGCACCTCATTTGAGTTGATTCAAAAACACACATTCAGAAGTATAGCGAATCTTCCCTAAATTATTAGACACTGTCAAAAACCTGACTTACAACACACTGACCATCATTAAAGTTTTCCTACTGAATCAGAAGAAACGCTACGTGGGAAATGAATAGCTCACTTCCAGCTGCTAGACATGTTCATCACACCCCAAAGTGACAGCTCTCATCACTGTTTAATCCTACTTCTGAGCTCAGGATGGCTGTGAGGTTCCCATTTGTCCATTTGAAGCTAGCACCGTTCAGACCCATTGCTGTTAAGAAATGCTGAGGATGCTCAGTGCCTCTTTGGAGCCACTTTGGGGGGATACTTCAAACCACACTTTTCTTGGCAGTAGTCTAAGCTTATGCGTGTACCTGGTATACCGCTTGCTCACACTGTTTGTCCTTTTGTGCCTTTTTTTCCATTTCTTCCCTTTGTTTCAGTTCGTAGATGAGCTGAAACAGGTCTCGTAAGTCCAGAATTACAGGTTCAGCCTATGGAAGCAAAAACAGAAAAGAAAATTTCTATACAGGAAAACATACTCCTCTTATCCCAACCTGCTGACAGAGCAGTTAGGGAACACAATTGGAAAGAAATTCCTACAGAATTAATTTTCACCTTGGCATCCAGCTCGGATTAATGTCTATCAAACAAATTATATTTGAAAATTAATGAAAATTATAATTATGAATATAAAAGGCATATATATGAATATAAATGCATATTTATTAGTGGTTTTTCTCATACAATGGAATTACAATTATAATTATGAATATAAAAGGCATATATAGGAATATAAAGACATATTTATTAGTGGTTTCTCATACAATGGAATTACGGCGGACTATATGAAAAGTAGCTATTTGGTATCTATTGCTTTCTGCTTAAATGCATATAGGAATACATCCAAACTTATCTGTATCCAGTCCAGTTTAGTTAGAAAGGAAAACAATAACTAATTATAAAAAAAAAAATAATCACAAGGAATCGGAAACAGTGAAATACATTCCCTTTTTCCCAAGCTGGCCTCATTAATTTGCTATTCAAGAACAAGTGGGCAGATTCTTGTGACAAGTCTAACACAATCACAAACAGCACAAGATTGGCCTCTTGAACAGCTTCTTATGAACACAGCTTTTCTATTGAGTTACACTGCAGAAAATGACAGTGATCTGATACTTACTGCCTGGGCTGTTTTTATTGCCACAAATCTATGATTTCCCTCCTTTCCACATACATATCCAAACGCTCGATGGTCTGTGATATCCTTTGCGATGTATGAAATTTCATGAACTGCATGGTGGTGCTGTAGTAGCTAATAAAAAAAAAAACAACACACAAACAAAAACCACAGTAAGAAATATCCATTAAAATATCCATAAAATGTTTTAATAAAAAGCCCATTTCACTTTCATTAGTGCTTTCCCTGGATCTCAATACATCTATAGAATTAAACCAAACAAACATAACCTGGTATCAAAATCAATTAATATTTGAATTCTGTAAGCCTCTTGTCTTTTCAAAATTACGCCAAACTGGACTTGCTTTAATAATTTGATTAAAGCTTCAACAGAATAGTTTTCTTGGTATCTTTTGGTGAGATATAATTCAATAGAAAATATCACGTCACCTAGTTACTGCCTACACGGCATCCTAGGTAGAGATTAATGTTTGCAGGTATCTAAATGAAGCAGCAGCAGCCACCTGTAGCTTCAACCAGGGCAAGAGGAAAGACTGATCTGCAGGGGCTGCAGAGCTAGAGCCGAGATATCTAATTTCTCAAAGAAGAGACACCAGACTCACGTTGTCTCTGCAACACTCAGCATCAGCCAGCGAGCCATATTTCATTTAAAGCCGTAACAGGACTCCAAAAATATATTTTTCCCAGAAAATTCACAGAAATGCACTTATCCAACTTGAAATCAATGCTAAATGCAAAAGTTCATTTTATTTAAAATCTCACTTTGCTTAATTGTAATCAGAAAACAATTCAATTCTTTTTTTTTTTAAATGTATGAGTAAAAATCTCCCCAGAGCCAGGACAGGAATCTGAGACTCCTATAAGCATGTCTCAGAGTGCCAGCATCTTTCTCACTTCGCCTTAATAATATTTTATTACCAAACTAATACTTAAGTATTTCTACTTAGACTAACGTCCTTGAAAAGTTAATCTAAAACAACCTATTAGTATGAATTTCTACCTTCTGATATATTGACCTGCTCTTGTATCATTTAGGGATAATGATATTTCTGAGAGCAGGCAAAGCCTCACAAAGAATTCTTTTGAGGTCCAGATCCCTGCTGCTTTTGAGAAAAGCACATTTTGAAAATCAGCATGGTATCCAGGCAATCTCTAAACAACCAGTTATTTTTAGAGATTGTTTTTTTTTAAAAAAAAAAAAAAAGAAAAAAACAAACCACTTTAAAATTCAAAACTGGAGAGGACGCGTGTGTGTAGAAGAGAAAAGGCTGAGCGCGTGCAGGGCAAGTGACAAGCAATGAGACCTCAGTAGAACACAGACTGAAATTTAAAAGGAGAGGCAGCACGCAAGAGAGAGACAAGTTATGTATAAAACAAAAGACTGGCCATGTTTCATTTTCATTTTGCAGTAAATGACTCCTAACTTCCCCAGACCAAGATTGCTTGCCTGTAGGAAAATGGAAGTGCTGCCATTGACTCCAGGCTGAAGGTGGCTAAGCCAAAGGTGTGCTTTAGCTGCTCCCAATGTGTTAAGCCTTTAAAATTAATGATGGGATCTCACTTAGATAATACAGGGATATTGATTTATTAGGTTTTTCTGAAAACCACGTTGCATGCTATCTGTTACAATGAAATGAAATGTTCCCATCTCTCTATTCTGCATATGACAGGGAACGTTATCTCTCGCTCCTATTAAATCAAAGTTCTTTGACATTGCTTTATTGATTGCAAGACAGCATTTTGCACTGAAATTAAACTGTGATCAGATTCCTTCCTCATGGAATTAAATTTGAAGATCATTCTACCATGGAAAAGTATCACCCACAATGTAAGACAGCAGATGGAGACACTCCAATTTATTTGGGAACCTTCATTAACTGTTTGAAAATCATTACATTTTTAATGGTTATGATATTTTACATACTGTATCAATACATGTACAAATTAAGTAAAGGTGACTGCAACATTATCCTTTTACACATTTTACTGTACGGAGTGCTTAGCAGGAGTTTTTCATTTGTTCAAGGGATATTGAGTTGGAACACACACATGAAATGCAATGTTGCATACACACATCTGTACTCAAATGTAGTTATAATCACTCCTGTGAACCTTTCACAGCCCTCCATTCATCTAATCTGTCCTTTCTACGTGTTCCAATACTTCATTCCAAACATTATTTAATGAGTGCCCAATTTTTTGCTCATCATAAAGCAGAAATCAGACTCCTGCTGCAGTCAGTAGAGATTTACCACCATAAAATGAGAGACCAGAACTGCATCCTCTTTGTAAATCTTTGTTTGCTGGAGGCAGCCTGCCCAGGACCCCCCCAGAGCCCTTCACGGCAGTGAGACCTGCATCACAGCAAAGGACAGCAGAAGGGACAGCACGAGGAGCAACGCCATCTGATCCAGGCACCCAGCAGAGACTCACGACTGAGGATACCTATAAATACACCATCTTTGTGTGTTTTGATTGATTTGCGTCTGGTGCATTCGCACAGATTAATCTGTCCCGTAAAATGGGAGACCAACCAACAGGAATTTCATTTTCATCATCTCTCAGTTTGTAACTGCTCAGGTGTAGCCAACCCCTCGATACTCGATATGAACAGTCCCGGAAGGAAATGAAACAGAAGCCATAGAAAACTGCTTCCAATAAAACTACCTCCAGCAGAACTGCTGGTCCGTGCTCCACAGCGAATATTCACAAGCTGATCTGCCCCTCTTCCTCCCCAGCCTCTTTTCGTGGTTTTTTTTTAATATCTTCAAGGTTTTACCATGACTTAATCCCGTCTCTAGAGGGTCAGAAGCACATAACAGAAGTGTTTCACAACTCAGGGATGTTTATGACACCCCTGTATGCCCATCTTGATGGATTCCATCACATGCTATTTGATGTTTTTACTGTATCTTTGCCGAGTGCTGCTACGAGCCATTTGCCAATTCATAAGTGAGGTATCAAATTGTTTTGGAGGGCTGCAGCACGACAGAACAAATTATAGAGAAGACTTAATTTGTATTATGGTTCAATACAGTCAATTAAGTATTGCAGAGATTAGAAAGTAATTTAACATTTAAGCTTCAGTTGTTAAAAAAATCCACTGTACATAGCCTCCAAATTATTTTCGGTCTCTTGTGACTTCAGTCACTATTGCAAAAGTTGAGGATTTTAAATGCAAGCACAGATAAAATCTCAAAGCGGATAACTAAGACAGTCCTGTGATGCAGAAGTCCCTCTTTATAGGCTAAAACATGATGTCATGATTATATTTTATTCTTATATTAGAAAGTTTTTTCCTGGTATTAAGCTTGAAGTCAAAAATATCCATCTCCACCAAGGCTGCTGTCTTCCCTCTTCCCCTTAAGTTTTCTCTCTCCCACTAGCCATTATTTTATCTCCTTTTCTCCATTCTATCCCTCTGCTTCTCCTCTTCCCCCCAGTCTCTCCCTGTACATCACATTGAATTGATTTAGCTGCCTCTGAGATGTGTAGCATTTCTAATTTCCCTCAGGCCGCTTGGCACCTATCATAAATTTTTTCACCCCTTATCCTCATCTTGCCCCTTTATTTCCATGCTGTAGCCTCCAGTGCCACTAAATCAATTAAGTCAATCAATTAAGTACTTGGAGGGTCCAGCAATCATGTCAAATATGTGAGTTAGATGGCACGAGAAAGTCACTGCTTTACTATCGCTATTTCTCTTTTAATGAGGTTGTCTATTTAGTGGAGCCTGGGGCACGGTGTTAAGAGCCACAACAAAAAATAGCCTGCAAGCTGCAAGGCTTCCTATAAAAGCTGCCCCACCAAACGCAGGAAGCATGTAACGTACAATATTCTATCTACAACGACAAGTTTCACAGGGATTTAAGCTGCACAGCCTTTCACCTTGAATAACCAAACGCCGAGTTTGTTTTCAGATAGGTGCTACCAAAGGTAACTCCACTGTTACCATTTCCACCCTATCGATACTGGGATGGGGGTGACAGATGTGGCCCCAGCATCCTCTACATTTCTATTCCTGTCCATTCACTTCTATCCTATTTGAATGAGCAAGAATAAACTTAGTGTGTCGCATACAGCTCCCCAAACTTCAAAGTTACCCACCAAACTGCAAAATCCTTAATGGGTTCATAATAAAATAACTTGGAAGGGTACTGAACAAATCGTAGAACCTGAGTCTAAGTGTGGAAAATTATGGTAATGCCTTAACAACAAGCTTAGCAAGGCAGAGGCACAATAGGACATTGACCATTATTTACTGCAACGCATTAAGTGAAAACAATGAGTTGTAAAACACGCAAGAGGTTCCAAGATTAATTCGGTCTCGTTGCTGCAAGAAACACTGGAGTGGGACAGATGTGCTCCTCCACGGCACCGAGGAGGGCTGCTGGGCTTGTTTGTGGTGCTCCAGACACCCAAACTACGGCACTTTGTCAAATGTTCTTCATGGCCATTTCCTTACAATTCCTATTTGGTTTAGCTGAAATTTGCAGGGATCATGGAAACAACAACTAGTTACAAGCTTTTCTCTAATTGCCTGTGTTTGCCTGCAATATTTCTCTGTTGTTTCACTAAAATGCGCTGAGTAGAGGTGGTCTGGGGCTGCTCATCCCCATCACAAACACCCCACAGTCCAAACTCGGGCTTAAGGAGCAGACACAAAACACCTAAATTTTAGCCTGGAGAAGAGAAGGTGCCAGAGAGACCTTATAGCAGCCTTCAAGTACCTAGAGAGAAGCTAGAGGAAAGATGGAGGAGACTCTATCAGGGTGTGTAGTGATATGATGAGAGCTAACAGTTTTAAACTGGAAGAAGGAAGATTTAGATTAGATATTAGGAAGAAATTTTTCACTCTGAGGGTGGTGAGGCACTGGAACTGGTTGCCCAGAGAAGCTGTGGCTGCCCCATCCCTGGAGGGGTTCAAGGCCAGGCTGGATGGGGCTTGGAGCAACCTGGTCTGGTTGAGGTGTCCCTGCCCATGGCAGGGGTTTGGAACCGGATGATCTTTAAGGTCCCTTCCAACCCAAACCATTCTATGACAGGCTGCTACAGATCTCAGCATCTCCACTGGACAGATGCTTTTCATCATCATTTTTCTTTTCTATTATTCT